CTAACTAATTAACTAGCAAATACTAGAAAGCAGTATAATTATCAACTAACTAGACAAAGGGTTGGAGACTAAATTAAGGAGGTCTAGAGTTATGATTTCCCCAATTGTCGGAATCTTTCTAGCTATGTTCCCTACAATTTTGCCAATGTATTCTCTACTGATCGTGAGCACTTTAGGTGCCGTAATTCTCTTTCGAGCAACTACAATAATTTACTAGACATATTCTCTCGAACTACGCTAGTTGGCTTTATCTAACCGCTCATTATGTCAACGTCAAGACTTTGTTATTTCTAAACATGCCTTTAAACCCGATGTATTGATTTCTCACATACGTTAGGAGTGACGTTATTCAACAAACACCTAAATATGTATCATTTCTCAAGCAACACATAATAAATAGGCACAGTCAATCAATGGCCATTCAATCAACAATAATAAACATGTAGTTGAACAAATAGAGAAATCCACGGCTCAATTATATAAAAACATAATAAGAATTTATCCTACAAAAGGTTCTATCAAAACCCTAGATAAAAAAATTATCTATTCATATTAGTATATAAAAATACAATATTAAAAGTCATAACCAACAATGAAAAATAGGAAGAGGAAGGAAAAACTCATAAAAGAATTTTTCGCCTTGCTCCTATTGTATCTCTACCTCCTTAGGTCGAATTTGTGTCAAAAGTATGTCCAACCACCTCAAAATACCATTTTTCCATGTATATATACCAAGTAGGGTCGGTCCCAAACAATTACACCTTCTCCTACGCGAAAAAAGGACAATTTTCAAGTCTGGACGCGGCATTTTGCCTCAGTCCCCGTCCAGATTCGTTGTCTCTGTTTCAACCGCGTTTTTCACCCTGTTCCATTTGTAATTTAGAAAAACATAAAACATGAAAGTTGTATCCCTTTGAGTTAGCTTTCCAAAATATATTGTGGAGCCCAAATAGAGTTCTAAGAGAAAAGTTACGTGCATTTTACCAGACAGTGCATAATATGCCTACTCGATTCTTCATTTCGTTTCTCTATCATCCGTTGATCCCCAAATACGATCCCGGCTAAATTTCTTGGGATTTTACTCAGACTTCAAAGCTCCAAATCACTTGAATTCATTCCATAACATCTATATAGCTTGAAATCACTCCTACAAAGCATAAAACATATAATTAGTGCAAAACACTAGTGATTAAAGCGCAAACTCAACTAAAGTGCAGTAAATTAAAGTGTAATAATCGACTAAAATACGTAATTATATCCTATCATCAGGTCTCTCACACGAGCGATCGCCTCTGACGTCGAGGAACGTATAGAGATGAGACCTATTAGAACCTTGATTCATACAAGATCATGTATATCTTTAAATAAAATGGCCGGTCTTGACTAGAGCTTAGGCTAATGGACTCTACCATCCTAATGACTTGCTTTATAAGCAGATGCAAGTTTCTCGAAGAAATTGAATTTGAGAATTATTGAAGTGAGAAACTCATGTTAGACATCAGGAGGTGTGTAGACCAAGATTTTGATGGTGTTGAATGAGTAAAAAAATAAGACACATGCGCCTTAATGCGGTGAGAACATCGTATTATGCGTTTCATACTACGTGTGCTAGCAACTAGTGGGATAGTAGAAAAATGAATCTCCGCTTCTTCCTTGTGTGAGATCCCAAAAAATGTTGTATTAACTTTTTATTTGAATACCCTTTGACTTTTTACTATTTCTTGAAGTGCCATTTGATGTTGCTCCTTTAACATGTCACTAATAGCCATAAGTGATTCACTCAATGTAGTGCATGTCTAGGAAACCAGTTGCTTTGGAACAGATAGATTCGAGTAGAAAGGGAAGGCAACTAAAACTAGTGAATTAACTTATATTCATAGGTAGACTATTACACGTACCATAAGCGTATCTAGTGTACTTGTGGATATAAAATTAAACATGGACTCGAGTTCACCTTTTTCGAGGATACGGGATCGAATAACTAGCTACTGGAGGAGCGAATAATGTCTGAGGTATTGCAAGTAATACAATCCTTATGTTAGTAGTGAATTCTTTCTTCATGTGGTTGGATTTCTATATGGAACTTTTGTTCAACCTTAATGGGTTTAGAATATTTTAGTTCTTGATGCTCGCAAGTCGCACGAACTTGTCTATATGAATTACGTGTCTTATTGGTATGATACTGGTTTGGGTCCAGCCCATCAAGTGCGAAGTGGGAGATATTGAATATTGGATTATGTATCGCCCATATGGGCTAACCCGACTTGCAAAGTGCTTACCACTACTGCAGTTAATCAAAGTGGATTAGATTAAAACCACACCTCTCTCTCTTCTAAAACAAAAGATACATTTTCCATCATCAAAAGAATAGGAACACACTTCCTCACTTCTTAATAGAGAAAACTTTCTAGTTATCCAAGACAAACACACATATCAAAGTTTGACTTGGGCAATTATTTTGATAGCGAGTTCAACAATCCTTCTGTTAGTGTTATAAAGGTACATAATTCGTTATTCTCGCTCCGCTACTTATTCTTACAACTATAATTTTCAATACTACTTTTAATGATGAACATATCATAACTATGATTATGAGGCAATATGTTGGGTGTGTGAACTAGCTTATTCTTGTCTCTTTACATTTCTAGGCTAGTAAGAGGAAGTAAGTCGAGCGTATGCCATCATTGTGCTATAGTCTTACTTGTCCCACAAAACCATAGGCTCTAATACCAGCTTGTTGGGCTAAACCAGTCCAAAGATATACTTAACATAGTATGATATTTTCCGCTTTGTACCAATGCTTGCACAGTTGGCCTTACTCCATTAAGCGAATCTCACACCTTATATGTAGCATACTAATTTTTTCAACTATCAATATGGAATTTTGTTTGCATACCCAACAAAATACATTCCCATTAGATACATCTTGAAGAACATGCATACAGAATAGATCAAATGATTATGATCAAGATGGTCCAATACCTTCTCAAATGGAAAAAAAAAGGTATCTTACTAGAGATTTGAGGAGCTGATTCCTTATCAGCTGGAAAACTATATTCCATTTAAGGTGTGTTTGGTACGTAGAAAGATAGGGTGAGAAATGTTGAAGACAAGTTTTTGAAAATGTTTTTCTGAATCAGAATTAACACTTTCGGATAATGTCATTGAAGCAATTATGCATAAGGTGAAAATATTCAAATTATTTCTTAGATCCCAATGATGTTAGCATTCTTCTGATAGCTAATTTGCTCTAATATTATGCACATAGGAAAATAACTATACTATTTCCAATCTTTGTGATGATGATTAAAGTTTGCGATCAGAATTGGTATATGAAAACTGATCACTGCAAATTATATTCCACCGAATGTGGACTAATCATCAAGAATTTATGGGCTCTGATACCATTTTGTTGGGCTAAACCAGTCCAAAGATATACTTAACATGGTATGATATTGTCCGTTTTATATCAATGCTTGCACAGCTGGACTTACTCCATTAAACGAATCTCACACCTTATACATAGCATACCAATTTTTTCAACTATCAATATGAAATTTTGTTTGCATACCCAATAAAATACATTCCCATTAGATACATCTTGAAGATCATGCATATAGAATAGATCAAAAGATTATGATCAAGATGGTCTAATACTTTCTCAAATGGAAAAAAAAAAGGTATCTTACTAGAGATTTGAGGAGCTGATTCCTTATCAGTTGGAAAACTATATTCCATTTAGGGTGTGTTTGGTACCTAGAAATATAGGGTGAGAAATGTCGAAGAAGAGTTTTTGAAAATATTTTTCTGAATCAGAATTAACACTTTCGGATAATGTCATTGAAGCAATTGTGCATAAGGTGAAAACATTCAAATCATATCTTAGATCCCAATGATGTTAGCATTCTTCTGATAGCTAATTTGCTCTAATATTATGTACATTACAGGGAAATAACTATACTATTTTCAAGCTTTGTGATGATGATTAAAGTTTGCTATCAGAATTGGTATATGAAAACTGATCACTGCAAATTATATTCCACCGAATGTGGACTGATCATCAAGAATTTATGGGGTTATTGTTTGTCTACTTTTTTTGTTCTTTGATTTATTCTAGTCATATGGTTGTTAATCTGCGTTAAGAAAACTTAAGCTGCACATTGGTTGTGTTTGGCCTAATCTCAAAGAGTGGCATGGGTTGTAGCTGTATTGGACTCCTTTTGTTTAGAATGGACTATAGTATTGCATGAATAGAGTAGTTTTCAGTAGGGGCGAACCTACGTGGAAGGTTGAGAGGTTACAGACATCCATTAATCTCGGGAAAAAATCCTATATATTTATATGTATATATAAGCTATATACCGTGAGAAACGGTTATATATTTTATTAGGCAATCTGATACTCAAAAGCCCTTTTGGGACACTGAACTTTTATGCAGCTTATTGTCGCTCTTATGCTTGGATGACTTGGATTCGATTCCAGCTCCATTTTGTTTTGCTTCTACTGTTATATGCCCAGATATTTTTTCTTTTGGCTATTTTTTCTTTAGTTTTGGGTTTTTTTTGGTTTTTACTTTAGTTTTTGCCGCGAACTCCATTTTCTTTTGATTAAAACCATCCCTCACAAAATCTCAAATTTCTCCCTATGCTATAAACTGAAGCTTAGAACTTATCAAAATCATCAAAGTGTTAAAAGGGTTGCACGTCAAACTTACTAACTATTGATTCGCATGAATCATGACTATACCAAAAATAGTAGTGTCCCTGCTATTTCAAATTCTGAGTTCGCCTATTATTTTTAGGGGTATTTAGCAAAGTTAAGAATCTATGACAACGTAGATAAAATACGATTTTGAGAGTCCTTAATCTAAAATAAGCTTCAAATTGAGCTTAAAATCGACTTATTAAAAGTGGAAGAACTTAAACTCGAACTCATGCTTAACTTGGCTATAAGAGTTGAGTTTGCTTCACATGTACAGTCGTAATTAAACATCTTTTTTTTAATTACGGTGGTATCCAACTTGCATTTGGCGCGGGGTTATTTGTTCCGGCCTAACTTTTCACGTTTTAACCATTTCTTGAAATTCATAAAATTCAATTTCACGTTTTTACTTAACTTTATTTACAAAGTTTGGTTTATTTACTGACAATTCGACGGATCCGGGTAATTGAATATTCCACCCAACATCAGAAAATCGCCGTTACTGCTCTCGTCATTAATCGATCTATCTCCTTCTCATTTAAGCTGATTTGAGCTTTCCGATTTCCGCTGGAACGAAAAGCGGCTCGCCGGAAATGAACTGCAACAGAGCTCGCTTCTCTAAGATCCAACGCCACCCAGAGCTCGCCGGAAACGAACTGCAACAGCCCCATTTCCCAGCGACCATCCTTCATCGACACCAACATCCGCTCGACCTTCAACCATCTCTATCCTGGGCGATTCTCGATACCACTGACGCCCGCCGGAGTGTGGCTGGAAATTTTCAGATCCGGCAGTGAAGTGAAGTGAAGTGTTAAACGACGGAATTCTCGGAGTATTGGAGACAAGTTGGGCGTACGAGCACTGGCAAAGGAGAGCAACCTGGGCGAGTGTCAGCAAGTGGGCGGGAGCGTACAACTACATCGAGCACAGCAAATCAGCCACAGGTTTTGTTATCGGGAATTGGTACCTCCTGTTTTACTGTTTCCCTTTTGGTGTTAGCTAAATTACTGTTATTTTACTTCGCAATAGTTAAACCTTTGAACTAGGATACTAGCTACCACGTGTTTCCTTCAAGTTTGATTTGTGTACGTTGTACACTAGCGAGACTTCTCTAGATTGTTGTAGGTGTAGTGGCTGCAGTCTGGGATGATAGAATAAGGGCATGTCCTCGGGTGGGGCAGAGTGTGGGGTGGGGTTCAGGGGGTGGG